AAACGTTTCTTAGAACAGAGATGATTGACATTGCACTGATCTCTGAAACAAGATTTACACCGAAAACACACATAAACTTTAATAACTACACAGTGTATACAACCAATCACCCAACTGGCAACAGTCATGATGGAACAGCAGTAATTATTAAAAGCAACATAAAACACTACCCTATAGAGGAATACCGAACAGAAAAAATACAAGCAACATCTATTAAACTGGTAAATGGCAAACCAGAAACGGTATTCTCCGCTGTGTATTGCCCCCCAAAACATTCTATAGCAGCCAGCGAGTTCGCGGAATATTTTTCTACACTGGGTAATAGATTCATATGTGCAGGGGACTGGAACTCTAAACATTTAAATTGGGGATCTAGGCTAACCAATACTAGAGGAAGACAACTGTATAAAGCCACAGAAGAGATGAAGTTGGAATGTCACTCCGGTAGAGAACCTACCTACTGGCCTACCGACAGGCAAAGAATCCCAGATTTATTGGACTTCTTTATTGTAAAAAACATAGATAGTAATTACTTAAACATAGAACCACGAATAGACCTTACGTCTGACCATACACCAGTTATACTAAATGTTACCACAACAGTTAATCTGGTAGCACCGCCTCCAAGAATATACAATTTGAACACAACGGATTGGACAATCTATAAAAGTGTTATCACAACAAAGACTGAACTAAAGACCAAAATTAATACAATAGAAGAACTTGAAAGACAAGTGGAACAACTTAATATGACCATCCACATTGCAGCCAATTCCGCGACTCCAAAAAGGACAGGTAAAGGACAACCTCTGAAACATAACTCTTATCCAAAGGATATCAAAGAGAAAATAAAGGAGCGCCGTCGTTTGAGAAAAGTCTGGCATACTACAGGATACCCAAGTGATAAAGCTGCATTCAATAGTTTCTCAAATGAACTCAAAGCCCTTATCAGTACCCTAGAAAATAATAACATTCAACACTATCTTTCAAATCTAGATCCAACGAAAGACACAAACTATTCACTATGGAAAGCTACCAAGAGTCTAAAGCGCCCGAAAATCCACAAATCACCTATCAGTGATGAAAAAGGAGGGTGGGTTAGATCAGACAAAGAAAAGGCATGTATCTTTGCGAACCATCTGAAAACAGTTTTCCAACCACTCCCTGAAAACAATCCCGAACAAACTCTGGAGATCAAGAAATACCTCGAATCTGTGAATCAAATGTGTCTTCCACTAAAAAGTACCTGCCCAAAGGAAATTGTGAAAGAAATAAGGCAACTCAAGGAAGGTAAAACACCCGGATATGACTTTATTGATGCCACATTACTTAAAAATCTGCCTCATAAAGGGGTAATGAAATTGGTTAACATCTTCAATGCCAGCTTAAGACTAGAACATTTCCCTGGGCAATGGAAAATTGCTCATGTAGTCATGATACTGAAACCTGGTAAACCCCCACAGGAAGTTACTTCCTACAGACCTATCAGCCTGCTACCAGTTATCGGCAAACTGTTTGAGAGGATATTGCTTAACAGGATGAAAGAACATCTAAGTAGAGTATTACCGAACCACCAATTTGGATTCCGGGAAAAACACGGGACAATTGAACAAATACACCGTATAACTGACATCATTAGCAGGTGCCTTGAAAACAAATTATACTGCTCTGCTGTGTTCTGGATATTAGCCAAGCATTTGATAAGGTATGGCATGACGGCCTCCTGTTCAAGGTAAAGAAGCAACTGCCGCATTGTCTATTCAGAATACTAGGATCCTACTTAGATAAAAGATGCTACCAAGTGAAGTGCAGCGATGATCTTTCAGAGCTACACGAAATAAAGTCAGGTGTTCCTCAGGGCAGTATCTTGGGCCCTGTACTATATCTCATCTTTACAGCAGATATCCCAACAACTGACTACACTACAACTGCGACATATGCTGATGATACGGCACTACTGTCGGCTCATAGCAACCCAGAAACGGCATCATCACAGTTGCAAAATCATCTGACGGAAGTTGAGGTATGGCTGAAGCGTTGGAGAATAAAAGCCAATGAGAGCAAATCGGTACATGTGACTTTTACACTCAGGAGAGAAACATGTCCACCGGTAACGCTCAACTGCAAAGTGATCCCTCAAGATAATAGCGCAAAATACTTAGGCATGCACCTAGATAGGAGACTTACATGGCAGAAACATATTTGGTCAAAGCGCAAACAATTAGATGGAAAACTGCGGTCACTGAACTGGCTGTTGGGATCCCAATCGCAACTAAATTGTAACAGCAAGATGTTAGTATACAAAACCACCTTAAAACCAATATGGACTTACGGCATACAACTGTGGGGAACGGCCAGCAACAGCAACATAGATATCCTAGAGAGATTCCAAACCAAAGCCTTGAGAACAATGTTTGGCATCCCTCATTGCATAAGTAACAAATACATATACCTCGACCTCGGCCTAAAAACAGTTCGGCAGGAAATAGCTCAAAACAGTTTGAAATATCAGGACAAACTGGCAGCCCATGTAAACACATTGGTACACGCTCTGAATGAAGACACCCTTCGGCATACCAGGCTAAAAAGAAGTGACATACCGAGCCTACATAAAAGATTTACCACTTGACGACAAGAGAGTCGTGTGAAAGGAATTTTCACACAAATATGGCTCTTGAAGAAAACATAAACTGAGAAATCAGACAAAGAAGTGGCTTATTGTTGAAAAACAGATTGCCATGTAGCAGAACTCAACCAAAAAAAAAAAAAAAAAAAAAAAAAAAAAAAAAAATTACACTTCTTGCAATTGTATACAATGGCGGAATTAGTGCCTAGTGGCATTCTCTAACAGTCAACCTTAGGGTGATGCAGAGAGACACAATAGTAGGTGTAAAAGTTTAACACTGTTCTGAGTTTTGATCATGTCATGATGTATACATATCACATAATATACACTAATTAAATATACTTTTACTCCAAAGCTTTGTGTTACTTGTCGTAATCTGACATTTAAAAAATGTCTCAACAAATAAAAATACAGGTACTAAAACGACGTCTGTCGTAAAAACAATATTTCACATTCTTTAACATTCATCAGTAAAAAGTATGTGAACAAATTGGCACAAATCCTTCTTTCATCAGTATATCAATTCCAGACAACCTATAGATCCAAAACTATGTACCTCACACTATATACATACCCAACAAACACTTTGACATTGAACACATTGCAATCCACACGGGCATTAATCAAAATTTCTTCAAAAACCTAACAAAGGTTGACAATGTAAAATAATTGTTTTTGGCATGGTTGAGCGACTCTTGCGCACGTTTCCGCTGGCTAATTAGTATTTATGTGCTAACGGACGGTAATCGCACCTGCCGCTGAGTTTCTACCAAATGTATGTGTTGTATTATTTACTAGAACGTATTAGTTTGGACAGGGGCGGGTTTGGAAAATGATCCATATCCACGCCTTCTGCTTGGATACTAGGTGGCCCATCCATTATTAGTCTTTTTAAAAGGGGAACGATAAGTCGAACGATAAAAACTACGTTTTAAAAACCGACTTCTAAATAAAATTATTCATTAAAACCTTAAAAGATACCTAATAATAAGCTGTTGACAATTTTGTGACCATTAAGTTATATCTTTTTTTTAAGTCGCTAATAAAAGGTTGAATACAAGAAGTTTATTTTAACTTTCAATAAATCCAAATATATATTGAAATTTCTATGGGTTTACTAGGGACATTCCTGTTAAACATACAAGCGATCTTTTATCATTTCATCCGGAAAATACAGCTTGTCCCGGATGAATAGACTGTTTTGTCTCTATAAAAACTTGTCGATGAATTGATGACTATATTTCACATGTATTTTTGCAAGTTGAATGGAACTTGAGTAAGTACGATTAATTGAAACCGTTCATTCACTCAAATCTTGAATGAAATGTTTGTAAACGTACATTGACGGGTTAAAAGCCCTCGATTATTCTGGTTCTAGCACCTACTTAAAGCTGTGACGAGGTCATAGCCAAAAGTCCATTTTATGATAATGATATTGTAGTAAAAAATGCTTTTCATACTTACATCGCATATTTCATATCAACAAGTCTCGGTGCAAAGCGAAATCAACAAATATTTCCAACCTAGCATGATTGACAGTAGTCTAACCTAGAAATTGTAAAATTATCCCTTTTAGAAAATCGAACACTGTTCAGTTCTCTTCTATTTATAAATAGAATAATCCATTTTGCCCTAAGTCTTCCGAATCAGGCCCAGCACAGTAACAAATACACACAACCGTGACACACATCATCTACAGAATAAATAATCGTTTTGGAGGGACAATCGGCTATTTAGGGAATTAAGACGCAATGCATTCGCAAGCCAACTTAATAGGTCTTTACATACTCATGCTGGAGTAATTTATAACTAGTTTCTGTAAACACATGCATGACATGTCCACCAATCACGAGTGCCGACCATGCTGGGCATGACGTCACAACAATAAATAGATTTAAATTAAATTTCACGATGATCGAGCTAATATAATTAATTCATTGGTGATGATGACGCAGCTAAAAAACTTTTAATTGAAATGAATAAGGAAATTTTGATGCTTGAGATATAAATTGCAATTAAGACGTAAAAACGTGTGTTTTGACATAGTATTTACAAATATTCACAAACTAACAACCAATAACACTCATTGCCTTCGATCCCTGTATAATCCTTACTATCCTTACTAATATTATTAATCGGAATGTGAGTTTGTTTGTTTGTTCCGCTTTCATGCCGTAACAACTAAATCGATTGCTTTGAATTTTTGCAGACGTAAAGTTAGAAGTCCGGATTAAATAATAGGGTACTTTTTATCCCTTTTGACTTTTATTATGTCACAGGCTACTTTTTATCCTTTTGTGATGCGAGCGAAGCCGCGGGTAAAAGCTAGTTACTTACATAAAAAAACTAACCGCAATGTTTCTGTTGTCACCAGCCGTGCATCGACTTCACCAGTTCCGCCTCCATCGCAGGGAGGCACTCTCCCCCGTCCAGGGACGAAGCAGGTGACGGTGACAGTTCAGGAGACGGTGGTGGAACCAGCTCAGTCGCAGCAACAGCCACCACCGACCGTCCCGGCTGTACGTCATCACCACCACGCCTCCAACGCTACTAAAGAACTCGATGATCTGATGGCTTCGCTCTCTGATTTCAAAGTAAGTAGACACCATAGTTAAAGATTAAGAAATACATGACAATTTGTATGCAAACCGTAATATGAAATGATTTCAGACGAAGTGGATATTGTTATTACTAACAATGCCCACCAATCTTAGGATTAGAAGACAAATGAAGACTTATGAAAATATGTTACAAAAGTGTGCTCCGTACCTAGACAAAAATATACTACTAGGTTCTAATATAGGCTTTATTCAAGAAATTGTAATAATTAATACCAAAATACAAACTTCTGAATGGTTTTGGGATACAGATATGTTAACAGAAGTGTACTACTACACAAGTACACACCATCTCTCGTACTTTGTAGCCGTAAATTACAATAATCATAATGAATTATGTGTTACGTTGACGCAGAATCACAAAGATGTAACGTATTTACTCCAAAAGCTGTTAGGATAGAGGGCTTTTGATCTTTTACACATTGTCGTAAATTGTATGTATGTATATCATTCATATTTCATCTTCATTATAACTAAAGACTTGAACACAATACATAATTTGGTTCATCTGTAATTTCACGTGACATAATGAACCTTTTTGGTTAAGCAATGACCCAAATTCAACTGTCCCAAGTCCCAAGATGTATATCTTCGTCTAATTGTTAATGACAATTGTTAAACAAGTGGCATTAATTGCAATTTGTATACAAATTACAGCGCAGTACAAGGTCACTTGTAAAATAAAGGATAGTTGATTATCACTTCAGCTGCCAAAAAGATATCGGAGCTGGACGCTACGCAATAACCGCCTTTGTACCATTGTTTATGTCCTCCCCTGTTATCACAGCATTTTTCATTCATGAAGCGTATTTACTGAATAAACTTTGAATTTATAATCTAGTGAATCGTTCCGGTTGAGTTTACGATTCGTTGCCGTAGTAATACGAAGTGATAGTGAGTCATCTCCACCCTAAGGTCCAATATCGGTCGGCATCTGTCAGGGCCACCTCGGCACACTGCACTACAGCAGTCTCCTCTTTTCCGTTTATTATAATATTTACAACTCGCCTTTCTTGGTCCACGGCTATTTCCAGCCGCGCTAGAAGTCGTTCCTCCAGCGGTCGGCTCGTCTCCCTCGCACTCGCGCAGAGCCCGTCGTCTAAAGATAGTCCCCAGCATTACATCACAGGCGTGGTGGGGGCGCGAGCTTATAATATTAGAGTACATAGACAAACATTTCACTCGGACGGCATTCGCTCCAATCCACCACGAACGGCCGGGTTTACTTCTGTACGTTGGGATCGCGCTGAATTTTCGATCTTTTACTTGGACTTGGAAAATTTATTTTCGAACATCAAGTCCAATTACAAGATTCAAGTTCAATCCCAAGCTACATTATTCATTTCCTATTTTGCCATTTCTAATCAGTACATCAATTTGATATTTCGTAATGGCAATATAGGAAATCTTTTAATAAAAATTATGTCATTCCCAGGTGAGCGGCACAGGAGCTGAAAGCGGTACCCACGTATATCGCGAAAAGCGTGCGTGGCAGGAACACTACCGCAGCAACCCGCGGCAACCAGAGTCCGCCTCTCTAGAGCATATGCTCGGATCTCTCCGGGCAGACATGAGCCGCCAAGGAGTACAAACCCCCCAGAAGGGATGCTGCAACGCCTGCGATAAGCCCATCGTCGGACAGGTGGATATCCAACCGCGATGGGAGCAGAATTCGACCGCACCATTACCGCACAGGACTGATAATAACAGTGAAATCCAATTCTGCTCCCAAAAGTGTGAAGTGATTTTTATTGAAAAAGTGAATGACGAACTGTTGTGTGCTGCAGGTCATCACCGCGTTGGGTCGCACGTGGCACCCTGAGCACTTCACCTGCGCTCACTGCAACCAGGAGCTGGGCACCAGGAATTTCTTCGAGCGTGATGGCAGGCCTTACTGCGAGCCTGACTACCACAACCTATTCTCACCCAGATGTGCTTACTGCAATGGACCAATCCTCGACGTTAGTTTCAAACATGTTACACAATTCGAATTGGGATTCGAAATACATCGCGCTAAGGTTTCTTTTTAATTTCAGAAATGCGTAACTGCTCTGGAAAAGACTTGGCACACAGAACATTTCTTCTGTGCCCAGTGTGGCCAACAATTCGGTGAGGATGGTTTCCACGAGAGGGATGGCAAGCCATATTGCCGCAACGACTACTTTGACATGTTCGCACCCAAGTGCGGCGGTTGCAACAAGCCCATCATGGAGAACTACATCTCAGCACTGAACACACAATGGCACCCTGACTGCTTCGTATGCAAGGTCAGTATTGGTCTCCCCACCATAGGTACTCTAGCAGTTGGCTGATGATCTACGAAATATTACGCCAGGTCAAGTATTGATATATTGGTATCTCTTGAACATTCAGAAGTCTCCAAACTTTTGGATACTCAAGATACAAAATGTCTAATATAATGTTTACATCACAGGACTGCGAAAAGGCTGTCAAAGGCAAATCTTTCTATGCCATGGAAGGGAAGCCGGTATGCCCCAAATGCGTCGGAGTCGATGAGGATGAATAAAGGATGACGTCACATATGCCCCACTTCCCCTCAATATGAATGCCCTCCCCAAATTTCTTTTACAGCTATGCTCGTCGTTATGAACCACAAGCGTATGATACAAACACACACAAACACAGATGTTATTTACATACACACACACAAAAATGGAACAACACTAGTCTTTAGTACTTGATAGGGAAATTAATTTATGTAATATATTTTTGTAATATTATTGTAATGCTAAGGTTTATAATAAAGAGAACAAAAATAAAAAATGAAAGAGAAAGAATAAAAAAAAATACACAAAAAACAAAAATAAATAATAATAAAAAACAATACAAACTATATGAGATTACGGATGTGCCCTCTGATAGGCATTCAAGGTCACGTGCGTACGCGCATGACAATGACCTTTCGGATCTCATTGTTGTTGCATAGGGAAGGACGTTAAAAATGCAACGAAATTGTGGAGCAGGTCAAGTGTCTGCGCTATGTAGATTGGATTTCTCGCCTTACTCCCGAATATTCTAATAATAGTGAATATAGTGACGTCACAGCATGTCTGTAGCCACACCGGCTGCTTGTAATCACAGCGGTTTGTTTATGGGCCATTCGGAACTATTTTTACTCTATCTCTATTAATACTCTGTCGTTATGCGAACTTGCATTGGATAAAGGGTAAAATATAAAACGGCAAGTTTAATGTTGTAACAAAAATAGGTTCAATTTGTTGTGAAATGTACGGCGAGCTCGCCAGGCCTATTGCGTAACAAACATTATGTTTCTAATGCGTGTAGTTATTGCGTTCTATGTTTTATTGTTTTGCTAGTGTTATTTAGCTAGTGTTATGAAGCCCTTAATAAATAAAGGTTTTTTGCTATTTGCAAATGGGGTGAAATAAGATCAGTTATTCAGAGGCAAAAAAAGTTATCTATACTTAGCTAAACCTCAGTCTCAGTTTATTATAAAACGGTGAAAACTTAAATGAACTGTACATGGAAATGCTATATTATCAAATATCAAAAATCATAGGTTCTATAGGATATTTCTATCCTATTATAGTTTCTTGCAAATAATAATTTATTATGGTAGAAAATACTTAGAAAGTATACTCACCCCCTATTACATGGGACTCTTAACATAAATAATGAAAAGTAGGTGTTACATTGTACAGTGTACACCTTTGCCTACCCCTTCGGAGATAAAAGGCGTGATGTTATGTTATGTTAATACTCAGAAAGTACACTAAAGGACACAAACTGCAACACAAAAAGTGACACATTCAACATAGATGTTTTTATAGTTAAAAATGTATTATATGTAATTAGGCTATTTAACTTCCAATTAAAAATATACACAAAAGACTGATTACAATAGTTATATAACATATTAGGTAAATACAAATAAATAAACAACATCAACAGCCTATAAATGCCCACTGCTGAGCAAAGCCTCTTCTCACACGGAGAAGGTTTGAGCCTGAGTTAATCAGCACGCTTGCTCAATGCGGGTTGCCGATTACAGGCTTATAATTAGAAATTATAAGCCCAGGTTTCCTCACGATGTTTTCCTTCACCGTTTGTCAGTGGTGTCTTGATAATCTAAGAAAGTACATATAACTCGGAAAAGTCACATTGGTACTTGCCATTGGGAGGTTTCGCACCCGCACCCTCATGCATGAGAAGCGGGCCTTTTAAACCTCCGGGCCACGACGAAAAGTAAATAAAAGTTACCCACAAAATAATTACACAACTTTTTCTAATGTAGCTGTTTGATAAGATAATTTCTCACGTCATTACACGTATACAGCATGTTCTTTTTTCAAATCGCGATAATGTGACATCTTCATGGATTCCCGCCAAATGATAATTGTCCAGCAAATGAAAATAACGCTCAGTGACGTAGTTATTCATTCGTGAATCTAAACTGTTAAGATATAGACAAGTTATTTTTTTTTAGTGTTGTTTTTTTTATAAATGTATGCGTTTTTAGGGAACAGAGAGTATAGTTCCCTAAGATCGGAAAAGGAGGATCCTCCGACCAGGCGAGGTGATCGTGCCTGGCGGGCTTTCTGCCCAACAGTTGTTCGTTGGGATTTTCTATCCGTATTTATTCGCTTGTAAACTTTGCATGTGCGATGTAGGATTCTTGTGACGTCATCCGTTGACATGTGGAATGCGTCGCCACACGTTTAATGTATCGTATATTATTCCCGATTGGGTTGTCAAATCATACACAATTATTTTAAAAATAATAAACATAAAAATGTTTACTATTTCGTATTGTAAATATGCTAATTCGCGATCTAAAATATTTTTTCATAATGGGACTGTCAAATAGAATAGGTACAGAAAGCTTTAATGAAATCTGACTTATTATATAGTGTTAGATATTATTCAGGTATCACTTTCAATCAAAAACAACTTTCTTAACATCAAAACATTAAGGTTTTAACTGCCAATAGAAAACTGTTGAAGGTAAATCCCCCGCTAACGTCGGTCACCGATGATCCCCGTGGCGTTTAATGTATTAAAAAGCATCGAACTTCATATATCTCATTTTTCTATCAAACAATATTCTTTAAAGAAACGTTACGTGTTTGTATAGTACATAATAACTTGACGCAGAACAAAATATTGCGTAAAACGCTCCAGAACTCGATATAAAACAGATTTTGATGTACTCACCTTGTTTATAAATATTTATAATAACAAAGTATGTGGTGCTTACCAAAATGGCGGCTCCCATGATTCAGTCCACTTATACAATATACATTGAATTAAGAAAGGTTATGGCCTTATTTAATTGGACTAAAACCGGAATACTACGATGCCCAATTGTAATTTGCTCTTAAGTATAGAGTTGTTACAAATTCTTTACAAAATGAAAGAAATGGCACGATATTTGAACACGACTTAAAATTGAATAACGTTTTCTGTAAATTAAATAATATTTATACGTCCATGAATTGCTTTGCTACACGTCTGATGGTTAGTTTGACTAAATAGGGTTTTAATGCCTTTAAGCGTATGCAGCGCCATCTGTTTCACTGTGTTAGTAAGACAAATAAGCTAAAATGTTACCCAACTATAGCATGCTAAAGCTAGGTAGATAGATAGGAAGAATAGATGACTAATTTTTATTTTAATGTCCGTCTGGCAGATTTTTTTTTTTATTTTCTTACAGAAACGAATACTTTCGACCATATATTGATTTGAAATGACGTCACTTCTATGTACATTTTATACGTAGAAATGACGTTTTAGTCCCCACTCCTAAACTTTGATTCGTTATATCTAATTATCATTTTATTATACAACAAAATAAAATGTACACTGTCATCATTCCTATTATATATAGTAGGTGCTTTGATATACACAATACTCACATATACATAATACCCATATCAGGCACAACTATTTAATATACTTTGCTAGTTGCGCATTCCCCAAAACCGACCTCTTCATCTTCATCATAATTTTTATCTAGAACCAACCTTCTCTAGCAAATTCTGTGTCTTAAAATAGTATTATAACCGAAATCCGCAATAATAATGTCCTTGATATATAGATATAGATCTATACATCTAATATCTAATAACAGATATTATCATCAGACATATCCAACATGAGCTCATACAAACATCAATAAACAATCACTGTGGCGTCATTTCCTTTATTATTACATCCTCGGCGATTTATTTCCGTTCAAATCATTAAAAGATTGAAATAAACTGGTTTTGTACAATTTATATAATTATGTTTCGAAAAACAGATGACAAAGTTGTAGCTATTTGTACGAAATTTCTTAATTTGTATCATGTTTACTAAGCAAAAATGTGCTATCACTTGTAATATTCATTATAAAAATACTGTTTTCCTTTCAGGAGTGTCGCGAGCCCTTCCACGGAGGATCTTTCTTCGAACACGAAGGTCAGCCGTACTGTGAGACTCACTACCATGGGAAACGGGGCTCCCTCTGTGCCGGCTGCCACAAACCAATCGCCGGCCGCTGCATCACAGCCATGTTCAGGAAATTCCACCCAGAACACTTCGTATGCGCCTTCTGCCTCAGACAACTCAATAAAGGCACCTTCAAAGAACAAAACGATAAACCATACTGCCATACATGCTTTGACAAACTCTTTGGTTAAACTGTCAAACTATTATGACGTCACAGTACAGTAAACAAGATGGTGGGTCTTTTTCAAACTGTGAGCATTCGATATTTAAATAAATAAAAAAAAGAATAGTGCTGTGACTGAATCGATAATATCGATTGATTGCAGTATTTTAATTGTAACATGTTCAAATTATGTGGTTCTAATTAATTAACTTTGTGCCGACTGTGAGTCGAGCTAGTGCCATACGACATGCAAAAATGTATGATATTAAATAAAGAAAATATTTACGTCGTAAAAATGTAAAAAAATAACTAACTAATGTATATTTATGTTATAGAAATCAGTTGACACGGTTCATTTTAATGATATCTCAAGCAAATGTATGAAATATGATAATATTGAACCTTGAACGTGCGTGCAAATATATATTTATCGAGAAGATAAAAGAGTCAATTGAATAAATATATGTTACGCTTAAAATTTCCAACTTTAATATGACACAGTATATTTAAAAAGTATTTATTTGCATATATTATTGAACATGTGGTGATGTGGATTTTTTTTCAGACGGTAACAAAGAAATTCTTTTTTTTAATCTATTTAGGGATCTGTTAAAACCCTATCTGATAACAAGTTACAATTAGATATCAAGATTATATTATTATTATGTATGATTAAAGAATTTACTGTACTTTTTGTAAAGAAAATATAAAATGTTTCTCTATTAGACTATTATAAGACTTAATAATCTAATTAGCGAAAAGTTAACATCCTTAATTAATAAATTAATATGTAAATACGTTTCTTTATCTGTCTTTCTTTCTTTCACGTTGCAACTGGATTATTTTATAGTATGTATGTATGATTTTGTATCTGGAAATAATTAGAAGGTTATAGATTGTTATAGGTTTCTTCTTTACTTTTACGCCGGCATAGCAACGATTAATAACTGCACGGTTGGCGCGGAGGCTGGAAAACCGGCTACCGCGCAACGTGTAGCGGTTTCGATTCCCGCACGGAACAACTCTTGTGCGATCCACAAATTGTTGTTCAGGGTCTGGGTGTCATGTATATGAACGACACAGGATAAAATCCTAATGTGAGGATATGTTTAAAAAAACGGATAAAAATACGATCACAATTTAATGCGTCTAAAGCTGTTAAACACAAGTACATATGTATGCGAATACTAGAAATTTCTTTAATGACTATCGATAAATGTACGAACGGCCTTCAAATTCAACGATAAAACTCCACCACCATTATGATAAAACGAGTGCAAATCGATACAATCAGTCTAGCTTACAGTGAATACTTTTTAAATCGAACTCAATGGCTTACTATTGGAGACTCATGTCCAATCATTGTCTATTAGTGGACAGAAATTCACTGAATATTAAGATTTTAGAACTGCTTAATACTTAACTTACGCCATTTTTTCATTGCAGTGGAATTAGTAGAGTTTGGTTCTATATTATAACTCAAATGGCTTCTTTCTAGCCTTTAATCTATTGAATACTTTGAGTACCGTCATTATTAAAGAACAATAGGTGTGCGGACACCGGTGTCCTCGCGGTGTTTGACAGTTTAAAATATCATCCCCCAAATTTGTTCATACAAAAGTAGTCTCTAAACATCGGGAATAAGGTCTATAATGTAGTTAGCGGAGAGCACACAAAATCATACTCAATACTTTATTGCTTTCCACATGTATTACTTAGGTGGTAAATATTAGGACACAATGTGGACCCTGTCGGGCACGACAATATAAATTTCATATCATAAAAGAGTTTCTCTGCGAACTAAAAGAAAGACAAAATCCATGATATAAAAATGTCATAGCAACAAACACCTTTTTACACAAAAATAATTCTTAAGTTTCATAAGATAAAAATCACAATCGATTACACAAAATTGTACTATATTGTTCCCTGTTAAAATGACATCATCAGTTTGTTTTGGGAGCTTCCTTTTACCTATCAGTAGTATAATTCCTTTATAATATTGTAAGATATCAAATAAATAAAGATAAGATGTATACTCATATACTGCGTGCTATTAAAGTTGGAAATACGGCTTATCTAATTATTTCAAGAATCCTTAATTACGATAAAACAATGATTTTTATAACTATCGATAAATTGTTGACTCTACGGCCTAAATTCACGGCTGGACTAAATATTTTAAAGCACGCTAAAGTAGACCTTATTTCTATTAGAAATAAGTACATAATGTCGACGAAGATTTGAAGATGAATATAAATGTCTACTTCTAATAAATCTATTTCAAGGTACAAAAACGCACAAGATTTTCGACCTTACAGTCAATGAATAGCTCCAAGTAGTACCTACCAACATAATATTAATAAATGTATAAAACAAAATGTAGAATTTTATTAGTCCAGTCAAATAAGAATTTTATCACCGATTGACAAATAAGAAGCTTAAACCCAAAACTTATTGTAATGACTACCTTAGGATCGATTGATCACAAGTGCAATTACTGAAGAGGCCTCAGATTCGATTCCCGAATCAGACTATTATGATATTCATGGAATCTGGACTACACAGGTCGTTGTAGCCAAATGCCATTTAGCGCTTGAATTTGCGTAAATTTTGATACTTGTTAGTGTCATCCCCATACATTTTGATTTCTACTCTCTCTGTAGACAAGCGCTAAAGTGAGGTTTGGGTAAAGGCCCTGATATCTATATTATGAGATTTATGTAGTCTGTATTATACCCGGTATATGGCAATAAATAAATTGGCAACAAAAACTAAAATAAAGGCGTAAAGATTTTCAATTTATTATCTCTCATTCCGACGTTCACTTTTCATATTTGACTGGACTATTATCACAGAATTGAAAACAAAAGCTCACACTATCATTCTAGTACCCATAGCTCTTACTAGTGCAAGTGATTCGAACTAATTAAGTCTAAAAATCTAGTGTTTATACTAAAATCGTTAGATAGGATACAAATTTTGGAAATGTTATTGCAAATAGTACTATTATTGTGTCTCAGACATTTAGTTCTTAGTTTTAAGGCTTAGTGCATTGCCGGTTTTGAGATTTCTTAATATGAAAGAGATACGCGATGGAATTATTTGAAATTGAATATTAGGTTTATGGTGTTAGAGTTTATTTTTAATTGTTCGCTACAGCGATCAGTTTTTGGGTTCTTGTCAATGGAAAATGAAACTAAAGGCGTTGTAAGAAAGTGGCATTTTAGATTTTATATCTTCGGTATTGGATTTTCCATAAGTATGCCTCGAAATCGATAGGAAGATACTTTAGATATTCTTCGTTTTTGATAAAACATTATTTGGGTAGTAGATATATCAAAATAATACTTATGTCGTAGACATAAAGATGATATCAAAACAAAATACGTATGTAATTATTTGAATTTCCTGCAGAGTTATCATCACTATATTATTGGTATTTGTTTCCATTCCTACAAAATATAACATATAATTCTGTCGCGTATTTCTAGGGAACGATATAGTAAACGTACTGTTACGTTATGATAATCCGATAGTCTTTGCATTTTATTTATGTTTATATTATAGACGCTTCCAGCACATTATAGAATCACTCAATTATTCTAAGTTCTGTATCTTCCATTAGCGTTACTGTACAGTTATTTGCTACGTTGTTATTATATTTTTATCATTATTACTCCCATTTTTATGTTATCGAAGTTCGTTAGTAAGTGCCAAACTTATCGGTCGACTTGTTACGGCCAGCGCTCACAGGATAACGTTGTTCTGGGTTTACTAAGCTAATTTGGGGTATTTTTGCGATCAGTAGATGGCGACACTGGGTAAAATTAATCTATCATTTCGTTTAGGGTTATGATTAAATTTTACTTATGGGATATTAAAAACAGGCTATTTTAAGACCTTAAATAATAGCCATTAAACTGTGCTTTAGATTATTAATTGTTCCAGTAATCATTTTGACGAACCAAATGTTATTAAATCTAACGTCATCTGCAAAATAAATCAGAATAAATCGACGAGCAAAATACGGAAAATTTTAATATTTTAACACCTGTGAACAGGATAAATATGTTGCAAAACAAATTGTATTTCCAATTTCCTTATACTTAAAGGAAAAAACATCAGAGAGCCATAATTTTTAGTTATGTTTATCAAGCTTCGTATCGACTTAGCAACATCTGACGTGCTACATGTTGCAGCACATGGGTGCGAAACACTCGATGTCTGTCCGTAGAACGATCTCGTGCAACGTTACAGAACACGCTGAGTGATACGTGTTGCGCGTCAATGGGGATGATGACAGGGTATGAAAATTAAAAATATAATTAGTCCGTAAGTTAGGTAATGAAAAAATATTAGACACGTATTTTTTTATTTTGTCGTATAATAAAACAATACTGAGATAAAACGAATCAAAGTTTAGGAGTGGGGGCTAAAACGTCATTTCTTAGTATAAAATGTACTGAGAAGTGACGTCACGCGACATTTCAAATCAATATATCTTCGAAACTATTCGTTTCTGTGAGAAAAGAAAAAATACGTGTCTAATGTTTTTAAATAATCTACCAGACAGACATTAAAATAAAAATTAGTCGTCTTCCCTATTGTTCTATCAAGTTAATACGAGGCTTTACAGTCAACATATTCGTTCATGAGAGCTGGCGTTTAGTTTATCGCTTCATTCTGCTTGATAACAACGGTAGCGGGTTGCCACACGGCATGAACTCGTAAAAATGTTGGTAGTTAGTAATAGTAGGTCTGTACGAACGAGTATGTAATCTATGAGACACGATTTTATTGAATCTGTAATATTTTAACAAATATATTTAATGTTTTTTTAATGTTGTCGTTTTATTTATCACTTTACATAACGAATCATGTGTAATCTTTGTCCTATGTTTTTATAATAACTATCGTGAGACATACTAAATTAACTAAGATCGCGGGTTTCTCACGTGAATATACTGAGAAAAGCTCTACTAGTTTACAGTAAACTGCGCGACATCGCGGAAGAACCCCTCTGTG